TAGACGGCACAGAGCTGACTTAAGGCGACGCCGTTTCTTACGCCGAGGGGTCTTTGGAGCTAAGCTAACAGGTTTAATGACTGATTCTGACAACAAGTTAACGGGTTGAAAAGTCAGAGTTCCAGAACGGATTACTGATTCAGAGGCTAAAGAATCAGGCATGGGAACAGGTTGAGAAACAAAGGTGACGGGTTCAGGTGTCTGATCAGGCTGGCGGGGAACTCTAACTGTCTGAGGTGCAACTTGTGGGCCTATTTTGAGTCCTTTAACAGACGGAGCTAAGTGACGATCGCGTAAATGAGAGCTGAGACTAACCTGGTGCAGAAGGGAGCTGGATCTGGTTTGTAGTTCAATGTCTAGGCCAATAGCTAGCTCTATGAGGTCCAAGTTAGCTGGCTCATCGTAAAAAGCTAGCTCGTTCCTGACTGGTTCATTCAGAGCTAGGAGATAAGCGGTTTTGAGTGCAGACTCGTTCCACCCGGAAACGGCTGCTTTAACCCAGAAATCAAAGGAAAACTCGGCAACGGATCTATCTCCCTGTTTTGTTTCAAAAAGTCCACTAGAAAAGATGGACTTATTAGTGACCTGATTAAAGGTCCTTTCAAACTCCTGGATGAATCTCTCATAAGTACAGTTAGAACTAGTTTTAGACGGAAATCTAGTCTCCGCCCATTCAAGGGCTTCCCCGGACAGGAAAGACACAACAAAAGCTATCCTATCTTTATCATAAAGAAAACTCGATTCATAAAATTCAAAAAATAGCTGACACTGGAACAGAAATCTCCTTAACTTACTTGGGTTGCCGGAAAATCTCTCAGGCAGAGAAGGGCTGAGTTCTAAAAACGACGGGCTGGGTTCTGACCAGAAAGGAAGATTTCTATCTTGGCCAGGTAGTGACGTCACTGGCGGTGACCTAGGAGGCGGAAGTGGATCCAGAACGGGACGTGCCGCTGACGTGGTGTTAGCATTGCCCATGTAGCTGGCATATGTTTTAAGCATTTGATTCTGGTGTAACTCACGGAGGGTTTGCGCATGTCCATGGATCTGAGCGTCCCGTTCCTCAAACCAACGACGGAGGTGATCTGCTGGGCTTTGTTCTGTCATGATGGGTCAAAGAGGCAAGCCCATATGCAGAACACAACGGAGGCTGGATAAAAGTTCAACAGAGTTTATTGAGGTTTCACAAAAACACACGATTATGAACTGATCTGGAACTGGTTTGGGCTGGCTCACAGAAGTCTTGACTGGCACCAGAGACTGTTGGTTAGCAGAGTTCATGAGGAGCTAAAGCATCTAGCTTCAGACTTAGCATGGCTGACCTTGATCTGAGCTTCCAGCTCTTCACAGAGAACAGCAGGGGATATCCACATAGGAAATCTTCAGGTTGACTCCACTTAGGAATCATCAGGTAAACTCCACATAGAATAGAATAGAATAGAATTCAACTTTATTGTCATTGCACTGTCACAAGTACAAGCAACGAAATGCAGTTAGCATCTATCCAGAAGTGCTATACAGGATATAAATATGCATTTACAAGTGTACAGAGGGTATGTATAAATAGACTATAAAATGTATGTATAAACAGTATAACAGCATTAACAGTGATTGAGGCTGTAAATGAATATAGACACTATATACATGTATATATAGGAGTCTTCAGGTTAATTCCACATAAGAATCTTCAGGTTGGCTCACCAGGGCTGATTAGCAGGTTAAGCTCACCCAGAGCTTTAGGCTAGAGACAGGTTTCCAGTGAGGCAGCTCTCCCGGAGCTTCAGGCCAGAGACAGGTTACCAGTGAGGCAGCTCTCCCAGAGCTTCAGGCCAGAGACAGGTTACCAGTGAGGCAGCTCACCCAAAGTTTCAGACTAGTGACAGGTTTCCTGTGAGGCACAGACAAAGGAGAGATTAGAATCTGATCTCACACTAGAGACAACTAAGATTCTTTCAGTAACAGAGGCTCAGGTTGCTAACCAAACTAAGATCAACACTGCGGCGTGGAAGCAAGGTCTGGCCGGTGTTTATAAAGGGAAGGTCTCCTAATGAGTAGATGCAAATCAGGTGTGCTGGAAGACTCCAGCCCTAGGAGACCCACGGCGCACTCTGCTGGAGACAGAGGGTAATCTCCAGATCCCAACAGTAACTCTAGTCCTAAAAGACAACAACAAAGAGCAGAAGAGGATCCTCGGCGCCCTCTGGTGGGCAAGCCTGAGGATCCCAACACTTAAATTCACCCTTCCTATATTTAAACTTAAACAATAACATCTGATTCAAAAGAACTGTTTCCTAATTTGGTAAAAACAAGTTATTTCTTTAGTTTTTTATAGATTTGATTATTCTGTTATTGAATAATATGAGTAAATCAACGAACAATATTCTCTGAAGAACATTCAGAACAAAAAACTTCATTTATTCTGTATTTTGAAGTTATTTAGAACAAATCAGAATTTTACACCATATTTTTTATTAACCGTATTGAGTTATATGTCTGTATTTTAACAGATAAAGTTAAATTTAATTGCTTCTAATGTTGAGATGTTTTTGTTGTTTGGTTAAAAAAAAAACTTCATAGAGTAAAAGTAGGTTTGTTCACTTTAATGTTTTACTATTCAAATGTTGACATCTGTGTGTTGCACGCAAAGTTTATGAATATCAGGAAATCATCGCACTGGTAGATTCCCATGAGCTGCAGATGAGAATAAGGTCTGTTATCAGCAGGAAGGAGGATGCAAATGTCTCTTTATAAAACTCCTCACTTTATCAGGAAATAACAAACAGCTCTTAAGATGACGTAGGTGAGGTATAATTAAATATATATATATATATATATATATATATATATATATATATACATACAGGTGCTGGTCATAAAATTAGAATATCATGAAAAAGTAGATTGATTTCAGTAATTCCATTTAAAAAGTGAAACTTGTATATTATATTCATACATTACATACAAACTCATATATTTCAGATGTTTATTTTGTTTAATTTTGATGATTACAAATGACAACAAATGAAAATCTCAAATTCATCATATCAGAAAATTAGAATATTACTGAAGACCAATAAAAACAAAGGATTTATAGAAATGTTGGCCAACTGAAAAGTATGAACATGAAAAGTATGAGCATGTACAGCACTCAGTATTTAGTTGGGCCTCCTTTGGCCTGTATTACTGCAGCAATGCGGCGTGGCATGGAGTCGATCAGTCTGTGGCACTGCTCAGGTGTTATGATAGCCCAGGTTGCTCTAATAGTGGCTTTTAGCTCTTCTGAATTGTTGGGTCTGGTGTATTGCATCTTCTTCTTCACAATACCCCATAGATTTTCTATGGGGTTAAGGTCAGGAGAGTTTGCTGGCCAATTAAGAACAGGGATACCATGGTCCTTCAACCAGGTACTGGTAGCTTTGGCACTGTGTGCAGGTGCCAAGTCCTGTTGGAAAATGAAATCTGCATCTCCAAAAAGTTGGTCAGCTGCAGGAAGCATGAAGTGCTCTAAAACTTCCTGGTATGTGGCTGCGTTGACCCTGGACCTCAGAAAACACAATGGACCAACACCAGCAGATGACATGGCACCCCAAACCATCACTGACTGTGGAAACTTTACACTGGACTTCAAGCAACGTGGATGAAGTGCCTCTCTTCTTTTCCTCCAGACTCTGGGACCTTGATTTCCAAAGGAAATGCAAAATTTACTTTCATCAGAGAACATGACTTTGGACCACTCACCAGCAGTCCAGTCCTGTTTCTCTTTAGCCCAGGCAAGACGCTTCTGACGCTGTCTGTGGTTCAAGAGTGGCTTGACACAAGGAATGCGACAGCAGAAACCCATGTCTTTCATACGTCTGTGTGTGGTGGTTCTTGAAGCACTCACTCCAGCTGCAGTCCACTCTTTGTGAATCTCCCCCACATTTTTGAATGGGTTTTGTTTCACAATCCTCTCCAGGGTGCGGTTATCTCTCTTGCTTGTACACTTTTTTCGACCACATCTTTTCCTTCCCTTCGCCTCTCTATTAATGTGCTTGGACACTGAGCTCTGTGAACAGCCAGCCTCTTTAGCGATGACCTTTTGTGTCTTGCCCTCCTTGTGCAAGGTGTCGATGGTCGTCTTTTGGACAACTGTCAAGTCAGCAGTCTTCCCCATGATTGTGTAGCCTATAGAACTAGACTGAAAGACCATTTAAAGGCTTTTGCAGGTGGTTTGAGTTAATTAGCTGATTAGAGTGTGGCACCAGGGGCCATCAATTTTGAACCTTTTCACAATATTCTAATTTTCTGATATGATGAATTTGAGATTTTCATTTGTTGTCATTTGTAATCATCAAAATTAAACAAAATAAACATCTGAAATATATGAGTTTGTATGTAATGTATGAATATAATATACAAGTTTCACTTTTTAAATGGAATTACTGAAATCAATCTACTTTTTCATTATATTCTAATTTTATGACCAGCACCTGTATATCTATATATCTATATATCTATATCTATATATATATATATATATATATATATATATGAGATTATATATATATATATATATATATATATATATATATATATATATATATATATATATATATATATATAGAGAGACATAGTGAAAGGTTCTGTGATGAACTACTACTGACCCGTCCAGGATTTATCTGCCTGCTGTGGATCCTCATTGGTCCATATCCCCAAAATCAGACAAGGTGAAAGCAGATATTGAAAAAATATGGATGAATGCATTTATTGGTGACATCACTGAAACCTCATCTGTAAGAGATGTTTAAATGCAGCACATGGCATATAAAGGGCATTATTATTAAAGATTGTGATAAATTAATATATATAAAGGTCTCAGATATGGATTCTGTTCTCATTCCTCCTCCCACGTTCTTCTATTACATCATGATCCATGCCAGGTCATTGATGCAAATGAACCTCATAGCTGCACGCCATGCTGTTTTTAGCCATGAATATTCAGATGCAGTTCCTGAGGCAGAAAAACTGATCTGTTTGAAACAGGACTGAACATTTACTGAGAGCTGCCTTCAACAGAACATCAAGATAAAACAGCTTTGAAATTCCAGTGAGCAAATCCAGATGTAAGTTTCTCATTTTCAAAGTTAGTTCAGTTATGTGTACGAATGTTTGATTTAAAGCATGTCCATATGATATAAAGTGTTCCTGATTTTTTTCGTATTTACATGTAGCTGTTTAATGTTTTTTTAAATATATAGGGAGATCCATCAGGCTATAAATTACTTACTCTTTGTTTATTCCAAAAACTAAAATGCTATAATTATCCCAACAGAAAACAACACAATTTGAATGAAAAATACCAACAAAATAAATTCATGCATGAGAGGAAAAATGCAGTGGGATTTATTTCTGGTTATTTTGTTCGGTAAGAGACTTTGAATAAAAACTGCAGTGGAAAAAAAGTATACCACTATCATCACAGACTGTTATAGTTGCTTATTGATCCTGTGGGTACTATTATGTTTTCAGCTCAGCCCAGTTTGATGGTCTGTCACCTCTATGAGTATCACTACATTAATGTGGGAAAGACCTGGACTGAAGCTCAGCAGTACTGCAGAGAGAAACACACTGACCTGGCCACAGTGTCTAACATGGCAGACATGAAGAGACTCCTCAGTACCAGAGTGGGAAACATGAACGAAGCTTGGATTGGTCTGTATGATCAGACAGATGGTGACACAACATGGTACTGGTCTCTGCCTGGAGTGGAGTTCAATGAAAGTGAGACAAACTGGAATGGATTTGAAGCAATTGATCTTGGATGGAAAACTGAGAATTGTGGGGTAATAACAGAAAACTTCAAATGGGGAGACAAACCTTGTAACAATGGACTTTATTTTATCTGTTATAATGGTGAGCATAAAAATATTTTCTTTGAGTTTTTAAAATGTATTTTATAGCTCTTTCAGAAATAATATAAAAGTATGAAAATGGTGTTATGATTATTTTACAACTGGAGGGATTTTATTGTGTGGTTTCCTCAGACAACATTGTTGACTTTGACAAACTAAATCATTTTGTGTTGATAAATAGTTTTTCACTTCAGTAATTTTTACTCTTTACAGAAAGTAAAACATCAGAGAAATTCTACCTCATAAAAAAATGGAAGACGTGGCTGAAAGCTCAGAGTTACTGCAGAAAGAAACACACAGATCTGATCAGTGGTATGAAGCAGCTAAAGGAATTACAACTGGATGACGTTCTACATGTATATGGTTGGGTGTTTATTGGTCTGTTCAGAGACACCTGGAGGTGGTCAGATGGAAGCAGCTTTTCTTTCAGACACTGGAACCTACGGTTTAATGATGAGAAATACAACAGTGGTCAATGTGCCATGACTGTGTTTGATGATGAAGGCAGATGGAAGAATGAGGACTGTGAGAAGGAAAAACCCTTCATCTGTTATGATGGTGAGTTTTCTGACAATTCTTAAAGTTTTAAGGATGGAGGTTTTTCTTTCTAGTTTTTGATTGTTAACATCTATGTTCTGTTTCTTTCTTGGGGAGTAAATCTTTTTCAAAGGCAGCTGTGTTCAGTTGTTGTCATGCTGTTTATTATTCCGCCACTTATCCTTGAAAATAGAAAAACACTTTTGTTGTTCTAGATCTGAGTAACTGAAAGAGGGTTTTTTAAACATGTTTTTTGCATCTTTAAAATATGCCAGTGGCTTTTGATGTTTGCAGTCAGAGGTCCATTATAGTGATTCTATTGGGATCATTGCTGATGGTTGAGTAACAGTGGAGCTCAGGTGCAGCATAGATGCTGTGTGTGAGCTGTGGCTCTGATGATAAAGAACATTTTAACATGTCCTAACAATTTGTAGCAGCCTAGTGTACAAGATAAGAAAACTGTTTTCTACACTACGGTGAATTTAATGGCATTGGGTCATTCTATACATTACTGATAGGATGAGTAGATGCACAACAGGGTGACAGTAGAACTACATTAACACTCATTGACCTTATATCAAGATAGACATTTTAACAATGCAGAAACTTAAGAGACTTTCATTTCTTTCATTTATTAATCCTTTTAGAAAAACATTTATGAGTTTAAAAAAGGACTTTATTCCTTCATTACTTCTTTCTTTCAGATAAAGTGATCCTGATAAAAAAAAAATGAACTGGGAGGATGCCTTTCACTACTGCAGAGATCACCACCATGACCTGGTCACCATCACCAGCCTGGATGAGCAGAGATGGATCCAGGAGAAAGCCAAGAACGCCTCGACTGATTATGTCTGGATGGGACTGCGCTACACCTGTACTCTGGATTTCTGATTCTGGGTCAGTGATGAGGTGGTCAGGTATAAGAACTGGGCCTCAGGGGAACCAGAGGATGACTGTGACATGTCTGGAGCCATGGAGACACGTGGAGGACATAAGTGGAGGAAAATAAATGATTTGCAGGAGTTTAATTTCCTCTGTTCAAAGTCCTGAAGCTCATTATATTATCTAATAAAGTTCTTGTTATTCATATGATAATTTTTTCACTTCTTTAGGATGCATTCCTTCTTTTTCAGAAGCTACGAAATCTTCTTTCTGCATATCAGAAGTAGAATATTTACTTACAAGTAGTTTTTTTATTTTTGCTATTTTTGAAGTTTCCAAGGCCTCTATCACATATATTGAACTTATTAACTTCTATTTCAGAAATGTATTTCCTTCTATTTACTAATATATTTAATTATTTTAAAACAAATGAAGTAATTAAATACATTCCTATTCTAAATCTAAAATTAGAAAAATTTTTATTTTATTTTAAACTTACTTAAATCTCCAAATATAAAATAAATGATTTAGAGGAGTTTTATTTCCTCTGTTCATAGTCCTAAAGCTGATTATTCTATCTGATGAAAGTTCTTTTAATTCATTTCACCACTTTTTCAGTTCTTTAGTATTTTTTTTTTTTTCTAGTAATCTTGCTCTGTATTGTAGACCCAGATTGTCAAAAAGTGCTTTTAGGTTTTTATTTTTAAGCTTCATATGACTCACATTATGTACATGTATTATATTCTGCCTTATGGTAGCTACCCTAAACTTAAAAATATACTTAGTTTTTTTCTATTTTTGTCAATTTATGTCATTTAAAAACTAAACAAGGCTTTAATATGTTCAGACTGGAAATATTTTTCTCTCAATAAAATGTTATACTCTTTTAAATTAACTTTTTTCCACATTCCTTTATTAGTTTTTTGCATTAAAACATTCATATATTCAGAACAGATGGAAGAGGCCAGAATGATATAGCATTAAAAAGACAATAAAACATGCAGGAAACAAAGAAGGGGGGGGGGGGGGGGGGTTGAAGGTTATGCTAATTAACTGAATCTCTACGATCCAAAAACATCTATTTTCATACATATTCTTTACCTGCTAAGACTGTCAGGCTGCTGCTATTTCTGTCTTTAATGCTTGGATTTTATAAAATGATTCAATACATTTTTTATTGAGAAGTCTATGTTAAAAAATACATTTTTTTAAATGGAGTCTAGTAGTTATACCATTTAGTAAAAGTAAAACTGAGAATAATAGACAAATAACTAATACAATTTACTAAACTATCGAATAACAGAAGAAAAGTTTAGAAAAAAAAAATTAGAAAACAGACATCATGGTCCTCCCCCATGATGCAACTCCAGATGGTATCACCCAATCAGCCATTTAAGCATTTGGTGTGTTCAAATTCATGGGCTACATCCTTCAAAGGACCTGACCTACCTGGAATGGATCCTTTGAAGGCCGTGAAAAAAAGGAGGCTGGAAGAATTCAGCTATAGATTGGAAAAGGTCACAATTTTTTCTTCAAATATTACTCAAAAAATATAAGTAGTTATTACCCACCTCTGACTACATCTTTTGTAAACTGTATGTAGTTATATTGTTTGCATTTTGATAATGAAAAAGAAAAATAAGTATTTTTATATCTTTTTAGTTAAGTAGTAGTAGAAAGATAAGTATTTTAATTGCAGTTTGCTGTTTCTGTTGTTTGTTTTGCAAAATTATTAGTGAGTGGCGAAGAAAGTCAGTTTCCCTTCAAAGGCTTTATCGTCTTTCCACCAACACCTGTCTTTGGTCAAAATGCCCGGCCAGTTTTTGTCTTTACAGATATCTGCTAATCACTCCGTGGCTTTATCAAAAACAAAAGCAGGTTCATCCAAAGCATGTTTCACCAGTTAATAAAAAAATTGTTTGCTGGTCACTATTATCAATGTAATGCACAGGTTTGTATGATTTTTCTCTGGTCCATGTGGTTGTTTTGAGCTGCAGGGTTTCTATACACCAATTACTGCTGAGCTGCAAATAAATGTCACGTTTTGTGAAACGTTCAGAAATAGTAATTACTTGTATATTACTTTGTGATAAAACTGGCTTTATAAAGGGAAGGCATTCATGCACACAGGTTAACACATCTAATAGACTACTGAAAAAACTAATAATTAAAAACAGCATAAGTTACATAAGATCCATGATTTGATAGAGTTGGATGGAAGTCCTGATTTCCATCTCTGCAAAATTTTGGTTTAGAAAAAAGAATCAGAAATTGATTAAACAATCCTATATAGGTCTTCAACAACATATATTACAACAAATATTCAGACTTCTTCCAGCTTTTGCAGAATTTTTGAGAGGCACTTGACAAGGATGCTCCACCTGAATTTATTTTATCTATAGCTGCAGTAATCAGGCGAAGATAATAAAGGATTAAAATGAAAGAACATAGAACAATGATGGTTCAAAATGACTGAATATGGATTTTAATTTCTTCTGTTCTATGTCCTGAAGCTCATGATGCTATCAGATATTAGTACTTTTCATTCACTTATTCAGTTCTTTAGGATGTATTAATCTGAAAGATGATTTCTAATGATGTTAAAGACCATGATTTTAAAAAAATACAGTTTTTTTCAGGTTTCATGTTACTCACTTTTATTTATATATATCACATTTTCTCAAATGGAAATGACACTGCAAAATCCAATTAGTTATCATTATGTTGAGTTTTGCAGGTTCACCAGCATTGAACTCAGGTGAAACACAGACATGGAGGCAATCTCTACTTTAGCCTTATTGGTCTATTTATTAATCAGGCTCAAAGAAAAAGCAGGTGCTTGATACAGAGAAGGAGAGGCAGAGAGAGGAAAATAAAAATGCACTGGCACTATTGCCAGTCTAACAGCGACACACTGTGGTGTAATCAGACATTGCACATCAGACAAGCTTTTTCTCACACAAATGAGTTTCTTAACACATTACTTTAAGGAAAGCATGCAAACAGGCTGCATTTACAAAAATAAGAACAATGAACTAGGTATTTTAGGTTGTGCTCACTGGAGCTTTACACTTATACATTGGTTTAAACAGCAAAAATAATCAAATAGTATTTACCTTATAACTTATTTTAGATAAACCTTATTTTTAGCAAAAAAAAATGTGATCTACTAATAACATGAGTAATTTACTGTTTATTCTCTCTATCACCTGCTGTTCAGTCATGGTGGGGCTGGGGCCTATCTCCATCAGTCTATTGGCAATGGTTGGGGTACTGCCTGGATAGGTAACCAGGCAATAATAGAGCAACACAGACATACTGTATAACCATACTTACTAACACCAACTTAGAGAAAGGTTGACAAGCCTCCAGATCCCAACACAGGGTAACAAAGCAGGCAAATTACTGGCATGGCAAATAAAACAGTTGGAAACAAAACAACCAATAACCTCTATTATATCAAATGATCTAATCTTACAGGATCTCCAAGAAATTAATGATTAACGATAGACTTAAGGCTTGGAAAGAACATTTATCGATTGTGTTAACAGAGAAAGATTGGCAGACAGCATGTAAGTTGGCCCACAGCTCTATTAACACATCTCTTAAAATGATTCAATATAAATGGCTAATGCGGATTTACATAACACCAGTAGACCTCAATAGGTATAACAGGGAGATACCTGATCTATGTCCAAAATGCACAGGGGATAGAGGGACTCTGGTTCACTGTATGTGGCATTGCAGAGAAATTATACAGTTTTGGAAAGAAGTAAAGGGTGCTATAGAACACATCATTTCTAAACAAATAATTTTTGAGCCAAGGTTGTTTGTGCTTGGATTATTCCCTGAAAAACATATTTACACAAAAAATGAATGAGTGTTTATAAACTTAAAGCTACAGTGTGTAACTTTTAGCGACATCTAGCGGTCAGACTGCAGACT